AGGGCTATAGTTTGAGCAACAATCCACTCGACTATCTTGCCACTTATTTACGCTATAATGATATTGAGAAGATAGCAACAAAGAAACGTGAATATGGTTTTATGGATTTTTTAATGGATTTTCTGGATTTATCGGAAAGAGCTACTGATTAATAGCTGTTTTATTCTTTAAAATTAATGATGCCTTTTTTCTTCTTTCACCTTTATAGCATTTTGAATGTGCTTTCATCATGATCGATAAGCAAACGTCTTTCGTAATAAAACATTTTACAATAGTAAATTTTTTTTCTCATGGCATTGCTGATTACTTCTTTGTGCTAAAGTTGTAATTTTCCATTATTAGGCTCATTATATTATATATAAGTAAAAAGCAAGTGGCTAAAGCTCACCATTTCTGGTTGGGCTCCACTGTCTATTAATTTTTGCTGAAGAGTCACTTGCGATAGATCGCCATCATTCGGATTTTTTAAGTAATAAATTTATTCATGTCGGTAGAGGCATAACGAATCCCCAGTTCTGAGCTCGATAATCCGAGTCATTATCCACTTATTCTCGCTTCAATTTATATAGAATATATCCATAAAAAAACATTCGTCCTTCTTGGATATATTTACTTATTGGGTCAAAATAAAAGATTTTCTTGACTCGCAGTTAATTTCGCAATTTCAGTAAGGTCTATTATAAATCTAAACCCTTAAATAAATAATACCAAGCAGGAAATATGGCCATGCGCTTGTGTTCAATAAGAGAATCTGGAGAATATATTTGCTGGTTAACCTAAAAAGAAATATTTTAAAAAAGGCATGAAGAGTATTAGACAAGACAACTGTTCCTGCGTTGAAACCGGCTATGCTATCGTTTCAGGAAAAATTCGCATAAAAATGTCAACTCGCAGGAAATAGAGAAATATACACTAGTTGGGTATCGAAAGCAATTGTCCAGAAGATTGCCAAAATACGAATGTCAGGTGATCACAGCTGTCAGATGGTTTCGAAGAACATTTAATAGCATATAGTAGCAATATGACGGGACAACAAACACTACTGGAGTGTTATGGTCCCGAATATGGAGACGGTTGCTTGAGTAAGCGATAATAGGAAACTTTATTTGGTGTGCATATTAAAGGCTACGATGGAGAGAATTCTATGAAGCTAAACTTAACCATGATCTATCCTCTCGGATTTAGGGGTTTACGCTTGTCTAATCTTACATTTGCAAATGCGAGCCATCAGAGCAAGAAATATTCTCCCTCATCCAGAAGCTTAAAGGCCAATAAAGGACCCCGAAAAGAGTCCTTCTCGTGAAATCTTCAAATGTCCTTCATAACTGAAGCAAAGCAACGGTGCTTACAATTCTAAAGACGGGTGATAGGACACATTCTGACAAGCATCGAGAAATTGGCTTATTAAACTGGGAAAATTTTCGCATTCTTTTTGCTGAATAGACTTATAGTAGTATGAAACAACAGAATGTTCTCTAACTAAATTGGATTTGAACCGGGATGCGCTAAGAAAATTAAAGAAATATCGCTTCAAATCTCCAACCCACTATTACTTGTTCTATCCATTTTACTACTATTCGACTTATTTGACAAAGTTGAAAAGTGACGTGACGGTGTTCCACAGAAAATCACACGATTAATAAAGGCATTTTCCCAGCGATCATCACATATTTATGTCTGTGAGGGAAAGGCAGATCGTTTCGGAACAAAATACGATGCCAGTAAGGGATGTACTTTCTCAAAAAATATTCAACTATAATATTCTCAAAATAGATTGGACTGTGAAAATTATTTGCTGGCAAGAAGTGCGGATCAATTCAGATCAAATCAGCATAGATCTTGAATAAGCTGATAATATATTTTTTTTGCTGACTATTATGAAGAAAAGCAAATGATACTAAACAATACGGGCAATTGCATCAAAAGTCGGATTTAGGATCAATGAAAATAAGACGAAGGCCTGGAATCTGGTAAAATGCTTGTTTGTTAATATCACGGGTTTAATGAATATTTTAAATATCTTGGATTCACTCTAATAACAAACGTCAAGCGAAAGAAGAAATTGCATCCCGGATAAGAACAGCGGTCTTCCGGCTAACTTAGCTTCTGTGGAATCGCCACAGTTATCAGAAGGAAAGTTCCCATCTATATAGCTTCAGTATACACAGTTTTATTATACATCTATGAAACATGACCAGTGAAGGTGAAGGATATATTTTACATGTGTGCCAGATAATCTCACATGACCTTCACTTTCGCTTAAATTCAACTACTTGCATTAACAATGCACCATCTTAGAGCATCGTTCGCCACTTAGTGCACGTTCTTCGTCGCCCACCACAAGATATATAATTCGTTACTTGCTAAACCCTGTGATGGGTGGCGTCAAAAGCGAAGTGGGCCAATCAAGACCTGGACTGATACGATTAGGAAAAATTTTGAACGTAAAGGAGATCCAGCAATATGTGGACTTAGACGATGGAAAAAGGAATGGCTTCTGTTATTGTCAGATATGGCATCAGTTCGAGTGGTTCGAAAAAAAAAATTTGAAAATGTCTTATCCTTATAGCCAGCGGAGCTAAGCTATATTCATTTTTCACTTTTTCTTTGTGGTTGATGGTACTACCAGGGTTTAGACGATATATGAAGTTTTCATAGTCCTTCAATGAGTTTGTTCGATTTATGGCATTTTAGTAAATGATAAATGTAAAAAATAATTAATTAATTATTATCACCTGATTATTATTCGGAGAATTTCCTAGACTGCAATGCTAAAATTTTCTTCGAATAGCGAGAATTTTTCCTGGATTAAGACTCTTCGCATAGTTTTTTCTTTTGTTTCGAGTTTTCCTCCGTTTTTTTTTTTAGAATATTTCAAATATTTTTGTCCGATCAACATTTCTAATATTTCAGTATATTTCATTCATATTCGTCGAGCACTGAGCACTCTTTAATTTTTTTTGCAAAACAACTATCTCGGAGAAATTTTTTTAAAAATTATAAATCTCTATTTAAAAATATTACATGCATCTAATAGATGAGACTTAAATGAAATATTTCTGAATTAATTGCGTTGCTATAATTCAATATGCCAGTGAAATCCAAATCACGCAGGTTATATTTCGATGATTTCAACAAGGCAACTCGAAATTTATATATATCTATCAATATAATTCATTAAATTCATATTTATGGCTAATGCGTATGCGTATATTCTGTAAAATTGTTTAGGAACCGAGTTCACGAATTCAGAGTAAACAAAAGCCAAAATTTATCGCCAATTTTGGCAAATTTCACCTTTTCATAAATATTTCTTACGATAATTTCCTTTAATTAGCGAAAGTATTTTATCTTTAATACTGCTGCGCTCCATCTTATTCGCAATTTCTCCTCGCAATTTTCTCCTGTTTTCGGCATAATTTAACATGTACATATTTTTCGCTAAATTATTCAAATATAACTAAATTTTTTCGCGGGTGATTGATATGGCGTAGAACGAATGATGTTTCGCTTCGAATCGTAGTCAAAAACCCTCCACCTTTCCCATTGGATCCTTGAGTAAGACTCTCTTACCTGCCCTACCTCAGTATGAGAGAATGAGACATGCTTGTCATGCTGTCTTTAGTCTTTGTACTAAATCTTTTTCAAGATTTGAATTTAATTTCCGATTTATAAATTAAAACTTTTTAAAACTGGTTCTCTTTGAACATCGCTGAATAGCAAATATGCCATTTTTGTACAGAAAGGCACTTCTGATATGCGCTAAAAATCTCGATTCTTTAATTTTAAGTGAGCCGATAGCACCTTTTAATGAGGGTTATTGCCGACGCCAGGATCTCGAATCCTTGATTTCCAATCCAAATAATTTAAATAACTCGATTTTCCAACTTCGCTTTTTCTAAGACAGTGGTGTGCAGAAGCTGCGTTGGGGATCGTACACGGCGTTCAACAAAACACCTCAACCATAATTAGTTTAGTAATTCGAGTTATTAAAATTATTTGACTATAAAATATTGAAAGTAAGATCCGAACAAACGCGAAATTCGCGATATGTTTGACGAAATTCAACAAAATATGCTAACTTTAGGATGAATGCAGTGAAAGTCGACAGTATTTGGCAGCACTTATTGTGCCTTGTCGAAAATGAAGATTATTAAATTCCCTTACAGTGATAATGGTCTTAAATTTAATAGTACTATTGCGAATCATATTGGCTTAAATATTCCTCTGATATATTTCTTATTAATAAAAAATAAATTTCTGGTTTTTATAAGCCAAAAATACCAATGGCGTACAATACCAAAAATTGTGCCCAGCACTTTCTACGGCATTAGAATGAAGTAAAAATCGAATATCTCATTCATTCGATCATTCGAAAATTCAAAAAGAACGGCCCTAACTCTGAAACAAAGCAACGATATTGATCTTCAAGATATTCCGTTTGAAATTTGAACTCAAATTTGCTCCTTTTAAAGGATCGAATTGATTGAAATCGACTTTGCTGATATATAAAAAAATATTTTTGGATTATTTTAGGAAGAATAAAAGGAAGGATAAAAGCGAGAAACCGATCTCAAATTTAGAATTTAAATTTCGTTGGATTTCGTTGGTTTTTGAATATTTGAATAAGTAAGCATTTCCAGTATTTTCACTCAAAATTTCTTTGTCGCAAGTAGAAATTTTCATTTTATTGGTTCTCAGTGAAGAAGGCCAAACGAATTTTCACAATTTATTTGGAAGCAATAACCGAATGGGGCAACGAAAGCCATAAGCTACAAGCCACAAGCTTGCATTATTGAGCCGAATAATTTAAGCGTTGGAAATTGCAAACGACAAACAAACTTTTCCTTAGATTCGAATAAATTGTTCTGAAGAATCTGATTATTTTATTATTGATTTTATTTTAACAGCATTAAACATTTTATACATTTTAAGACATTTTTATACATTTAAAGTGAAGGTGCATGGAAAATTCAAAAATTAACTGATTTCAGGAATCAATGCCGCGCGAACTTCGCGACATTCAAACTTTACGCGATCGACTTAAACGAGTCGATTTTCGAGGAACTGTGGATTATAATGAAGCAAATTTAGTTAGTTAGCTAAATTTTCTAAAAATAATTTCAGCACTTTGGACAAAATGATGGGAATTCATTAACAAAGAAAAACGTTTTTGCTTCAAAGTTGCCGTAGTTCGTATGAGCTAATTCGACTCACAGCGAGAGGCGAATCCTCTTGGCGCAGATTTGTTAACTAATTCAGTACGTTTATTAAAAAAACGTTCCATCAATAATTACGAAATTCCTTTATTACCATATCGGTTCAAATGCTTCCTTGCTTTGGCTGATTCGTTCGCCAGAAGCTCATTTGGTGATAGAAGTACAGGTAGATTTCCAACACCACCAGTTTTCATTTCAGCGACAGGTTTGTTTCGATCAGGACGTCGACCGAATCTCTGACGCTGTTCTTGTTCTTCCCTCAGGCACTGGCACACTCATTCATCATGTCACTCCATTGTCCATTGTTTGCATGTCCATTCCTACTCGCTTATTTATCGCTAAATTTTATCATAAGGAAAGAGCTCCATCTCGTTTCAGAATAAAAGCAACGTGGCATTAGGCGAAAAAGGAAACGCCAGAAATTCCTTTAGATTTTCTTTAGAACGACAAAATTTTTACCTTTAGTGTACTATTAAGAAAATTGTTGCTGAATGTAAAAATTTAAGAAGAAAAGATTTTGATTTCAAACATAGAAACTTAAAACGATAAGGAATATAAGATTTATAATTGCAATTGCAATTATTGGTAATGAACAGAATTGTCAGAAAGGAAAGAAACATGAATGCAAGTATAAAATACGTCTCGACCCACGTAACTGACCTCGCCTTGGTGATGTCCGCAAAACCGAAAAGTGTCAGAAGTTGCTTGTTGGTGGTCTCGCCTCGGTGATGTCCGCAGAACCGAAAAGTGTCAGAAGTTGCTTGTTGGGCTTTTATTCGGATATTCGATAATATCATTCTATTTCCCGCCACTTCGTCTATTTAAATCATCGAATCCATCAATTTTCATTATTGAATCGCCGTTCTTCTTCGAATTTTTTTTGCATTATATGTAATTAAAAAATATTCATTAAATATTTTTAATAATCGACTTTATTGTTTATCACTGATTATTTGATTAACAAAAATAATTTAGCGATCAAATCTAATTACTTATAATTTCGAAATTTTTACATTTTTCCTTCTAATAGCATTCATTAAACATTTATAACTCGTAATGTTTAAAACTCTCCCGGCCACTCGTCGACTTTGGTACTCTCCCGGCCACTCGTGGGCTTTGGTACTCCTCCGGCTACTTGTAAGGTTTGTTTCATTTAGAACGAGAAGATCCCCCTTTCGTTACTTTTGTCAATTTATTTTATAAACTTTTTGTGGATTACAATTTACTTTTTATTTGGACTTTGATCTCTATAAGTTTAATCCACACAACTTTTACCCCCACAACTTTTCCTATAATTTTGAGTAATAAAAATTATACTAATAATAATAAATGATTATATAATAATAAATAGTAATAATAAATAATAATAATAACAATAATAATAATAGCTGACGATTGCACGCATGGAAATTGCGCGTTAAAAATTCTTTCACTTGTGAGGCCACTTGTCTCTAAGAAATAATCAGATCGAGTCATTAAGAGTATTTAGATATATTTGTCACGTTGCCCGCTGCCATGCTTTACGAGTTATCTCGGTTGACGTCAAATCGCCTTGGATCTCTTGACGAGGATAGAGGGGAAACTTCTTAACAGAATTAAAATACTAATGGTGCTAGGGATCCACATGAGCTTCTACCTCCATATTTGACTTTCTGACAAAGGGCTGCATTGCTATGACGATTAGTGTTCATTGCAATATTTTTTGGCTCGAGGCGGGCAATTGTCTTGCCTTGGTAATTTTTTATATTGTTTCATTCGTTAAAATTCATTTCAACCCACATAGCCCTTATTTTCGAATATTCCTCACATCAAAATCGATGAAATTTGCAACTACTTTTGGCAAATATGCAATGAATTTCTTTTTATCGATGACGACTGGGCAGACAAAAATAGGCAAAGATAGACAAATACATAGATGGCCCCAGGCATTTACGCCTACGAACGCAGTGCATTCCCTTGCTGCGTGAGAGATTTAGTAAAACGGGAAAAGTGAAATTTTAAGTGAGAATTTTCGAGCCAAATGGCTCGAAAAACAAATTCTCGAAAATAGTGAATCACTCATTCAGAATAGTTGTTTGGAAAAACACTTTAAATCGACAATTGCACGCGCAGATGAGATTTTTGAATTACCAGATTTATGACAATCGCCCTTTCAGTTGTTTCGAGCAGATGCGACTTTTGGATTGAGATTATTTGGAATATGACAGTTGCTCACCGGACAGTTGCACGCACATGTCCCGGGATGGATCGAACTATTTAATAATAAATATTTTTGTGATTTTTATTCCCCCTTTTAATTAATCCGATCTATTGAATAATGAATCAAATAAATTTGATTCGTTTAGATGAAAAATGTGTTTTTTTTCGACGTTTCATTTTTCATTTTTTTTTATAAATTTTCTAACGGAAATGAAAAAATACTTTTTCACTTCTCTCCGTTCCTCTTATAATTTTTAATATTTATTAGAATTAGTAATTTTTTTAGAGCGGGTTGGATTCGCGAATAAATCTGTCATAAAATTTGACCTATTTGACTTGCTTGTATTTCTATTCCGTGGTGACTTTTATTCCGCGGTGATTTACTTATATTTCTATTCCTAACAATGAAATTGCAAATTTTAATTTAGTTAATTGAAATAAATCAGTTCTTAAATCAGTTTAATTGAGGAAAAAACTAAATGCAACTTGGATTCATTGTTTCTTAAATTTATAAATATTTCTTAAACTTTTGCTGAGTAACAATGTTATTAATTTTATTTATTTACTTATATTAATTTTATCTTATCTTTATCTTCATCTTCTAACAGCTCTTATTACTGGTTAGGCTGACTTCGCCGGCTGCAATTGCAAGACGTCTCCAAGCTGCTCGGTGCGACGCCATCGCTAGTAGTAAATAGAAACCATTCCTTTTTTCCATCGTTTAAGTTGCTGGTATATTGCTGGTCCACCTATACGTTCGAAATCTTTCTTGACTGTATCAGTCCAGGTCTTGATTGGCCCACCTCGCTTTCGATGCCAACCACAGAGCAAGTAACGGAATATGCGTCAACTCTTGCTGTGGATGACGGAAAACGTGCCTTAACCAGCGAAGGCAACGCTCTGTTATAACGTTATTAATATAGATGGTGAAGATGGTTACAATCGTGTTCGATTTTATCCGCTCGACGGATCCGTGATCCTGTGGTGGCTCTAATTGTTTTAATTCAATTTTTAATTATTTGATTATTTAAATTTAATTTGATATGATATGCTCTCACCAATTCTGATTAGGTTAATACCGATAATAGCCAGCGATTTTTGTCAAGAAAATGGAAGTCTTCAACACCGCCCGTATTTTTCAGTGATAGGTTTACAGGTCTGCATCGGTGGTAGAAGCTTTCTCAACACTATAATCACTATCCATCCTATTATCACGGCCTTGTTTACAATTAATTAATTATTATAAAATGTATAAAATGCATGTCACCATGTCGAAAATATTTTCGTTTTATTTACATTGATATTGAGTCCAATTCTCGCTGCAATTGTTTAACATTATTTGCAATTCAGCAAAAAAGACTACATCATCAGCGTATTCAAGGTCTATGATGCTGTGCTCTGGACTGATTTGCACATCCTTGAATGCCGACAAGCAATGCCCATTATCCAGTCTATAGCATAGTTGAATATTGCAGGAGAAAGGACACAGCTCTGACGGACCAGTCCTTATTTCGAAGGAGTTCTTATTTCCCCATCTATACAAACCTATGCTGATAAAAGGCCTTTATGAGCCGAATGATCTCTGGGACACCGTCATTCCATCATTTTCCAGAAAGTTATTCTATAAATCGAATTGAAGGCAGCTGCAAAGTCTATAAAGCAAGTGACGGTGGGTTACTGGCATTTGAAGCGATGTTCCAGTATCCTTTTTAGCGTAAATATCTGGTCAGCACAACTGCGTGCCGTTCTGAATCCAGCTTGGTTAGAACGCATTCTGCTATCTCGTGTTGCCATGAGTCTATTTAGCAGGAGGAAGCGAAAATTTTTCCAGAGATGTCCAGTAGGCTAATCCTTCGATAATTGTCGGAATATGTCCTGTCACCTTTCTTAGGAATTGGAAACAGAATTGCTTTGCTCCAGTCCTGGTATTTTTTCCTTTTGCCCTACCAAAGAATACATATGTTAAAAGTGAGTTAAGGAGGATTCCGCCTTCATAAAGCAAACCATTTAGTGAAATGATAAGGGACAGCAATGGCATGCCAGCCAAGAGTATTAAGGACCACCTCATAAGATGGAAAGAATTCTTTGAGGCCAAACTTAACCATGAAGCGCCATCTGTTGCCCCTGATATAACTGATACGTTCGCTGAACCATATGTTTGCAAATGCGACCCCCGAAGAAGAAATAATATCTGTTATCAATAAGCTTAAGGCCAATAAGGCTCCGAGAGAAGATGGTCTTCGAGCTGAACTCTTTAAATATTGTCCATCGTCCTTCATAACATCTTCAACACCCTCTGATATGGAAAAAAGAAATATTACCAGATGATTGGAGCAAAGCAATTCTGCTCCCAATTTTCAAGGAAGGACATATTGCGACAATCAGCCTATTAGACGTCTCAGCAAAAATTTTTGCTTCCCTATTACTCAACAGACTTATGAAAATACGGGACAGCAGGATGTGCCCTAATCAAGCTGGATTCAGACCGGGGCGCGGTTGCGCTGACCAGATACGCATGTTAAGAAGGGTATTGGAACATCGCTTATTTACAACCCATTGTCACGTGTTTCATCGACTTTGATTCAATTGATAGAAAGGCGCTTTGGAGAGTGATGGAATGCGACGGTGTTCCAGAGAAGATCATTCGACTCATAAAGGCATTTTATGAGTGTACGTCGGCGCAGGTGAATATGGGGATCTATATAGCCGTGATATTCGTTCAATATTGTTATATGGGTCTGAAATGAAAGTGGAAGATATTAAGAAGTTATCTGCCTTTGACCACTCTTGTCTAAGGTACATTTTACGGATCCGTCAAGCGGATGAAGTATCACATGATCACATTCACCTTCGTTCAAATACCACTTGCATTTATAATCTTATCACAGAGCGTAGTCTTCGCTGGTTAGGGCACGTTCTCCGTCGTCTACCACAAGGATTGTCACATATTTCGTTACAGTGTGATAGATGGCGCCAAAAGCGAGATGGGCCAATCAAGACCTGGACTTATACGGTCAGGAAAGATTTTGAACGTATAGATGGATCAGCAATATATGGACTTAGACGATGGAAAAAGGAATGGCTTCTATTACTGTCGACGATGGCATTAGACCGAGCCGTCTGGAAGCGTCTTACCCCTGTAGCCGTTGGAGCTAACCTAACCAGTAATGGTGAGAGCTGTTAGAAGAAGAGGAAAGAAAA